TACTTGCATGCTATTGGTAGAAATATTAGAAATAAGTTGTTCAATGTCAATTTCTATTCTTGTATTTTCATGTTGTTGTATATCCAAACTTGGTCAATTCCACTCGATTAATGGTACTATTTTGGTTTTTCGCCAGCAATTAACAATCGTCTGGGAAGTTACATTTCTCCATGCTTCTGAAGTAAATCTAATTGCTTCCTTGATGTTGAGACGAGGTATTTGTTCTCCAATATCCATGGCTTTCAAAATACTTTGAAGATATAACTTTTGATAATAAGATTTAAATGAGTTTATTATTCCAGCATCACATAGTTGTAAATAAGGAGTAGTGTTAGGTGATAGAAAATGAACTTTTACATGTTCTAATTCCTCATTAACTATGTGAGAAGTGGTATTATCAACCAAGACAAGAATTTTTTTGCATTTGAGATGATTGATAGTATTTAGAGACTTTATCCAATGTTCAAAAATTTCGCTTGTCATCCATGCTTTCTTGTTGACTTCATATTTGGCACCAAGATTCTTCTTTCGAATATTCTTGAAACACTGAGGATTTGCTGATTTTCCAATAACTAGCAGCTTAAGTTTGTCTGTACCAATTGCATTTGTGCAAAGCAAGATGGTTATCCATTCCTTATCTTTCTTTTTTCCTTTGACTGGCTTGGTGACAAGTATCTGATTAGGTGTCATTTGAAAAAAGAGGCCAGTTTCATCAGCATTGTAAACATCCTTCGGCTAGTATTGTGAAAGCAATTCAATTAATTTCTGTCTTTGCTCAGGAAAATTTTCGATTGGTACACTCTCTGACTCACCATGAATTTTAAATCGTCAAATATCATATCATTTCTTGAACCTATCAATCCAACCATGGCTTGCCTTGAAGTCAACCTCTGATATATTTAGCAATTCTCTTGCTTGAAGTTGCAGAAGTCCATCTGTCAATATTTTATTTTGTAAAAAAACCCGACGGGTCCAAATGCTCAGAGCATCTTCCAATTATGTGAACTTCACTGGTCTGTTAGCCATTGTTTTTGATTCATAATCTGTAAATTCTTTCAATAACCACTCATGTTTTGTCTTCAAAATCTTTGAAACTGTACTTCGGTCACAATAATATTCTTCTGAAAGTTCATCGATAGTGAGGGATGGATTGGCTTCTTTTCGTTGGCACATTTCTTGTTTTGACTTCATAGTCAAATGCATTCGCTTCTTTCATGGCCATTCTAATTCCTTATTTATAGTTGTCATTTTGTTGTCATTGGGGAATATGCTGGAAGGCTTGCCGGAAGTTAAATTTGATCGAACAACGGGTATTGAAGTGTGAATTTGAGTGCAGAATTTAGAGTTTGGTGTCAGAAGTGCAGAATTTAGAAAGTGGGTAAATA